GCAGCAGTGTGTGAGGCGTTCTGTGGGGTTGCCAACAGCACCACGCCTGCTTGTGCTGGCCTGGGAGTGTGCTACCCGGAGGGCCCGAATCTCGTTCCCACGTGCCTCTGTAACGATGGGTTTGTGCAAGACGGAGGGATCTACTGCATTGCTGAGGGTGCGTGTAGTGAAAAGGAGCGCTATGCATGCTCGCTGTCTGTCTGATTGTACTGACTGACAGTACTGCACTGCATGCCGTGACAATTTGCTTCTCCAACGCGCTACTTCTTCTTCCCCTCCTTGTGTTGGCGAATTCCCATTGCTGCTGCAGGCTCACTCCAAAACGGTGATCTGGTGGGGCCAATAACCGTCCTCACCAGGGGCACAGTGGCAGAGACAGCGGGCGTGTTCAGTGCCGACCCTCTCGTGCTCTTCACGTACGATTCTGTCAAGGAGGGCTGCGGCACACAGCTGCAGTTCCAGGCTAACTTCACCTTCTTCATGTTCCCCACTGCTGCTGCTGCTGCTTCTGCTAGCAACCCCGATCGCCAGGGGGGAAACGGGCTGGCGTTTGTGATTTCGGCAACAAATGCGACGGGGACTGGAGGGGCAGGGGGAGGGGTGGGGTACGCTGGCATGGACGCTCGGAGCATAGCCGTGGAGTTTGACACGTTCACAGATGCAGCGCATGGGGACATGCCCGGCCACCACGTGGGTCTCAACACCGGCGGCAGCGCCACTTCCATCAAGGCCGTGGGCTCGCCCTTCACACTCAACGGTCGCAACGCCTACACAGCATGGATTGACTACAAACCGGGAAGCCCCGGAACCCTGAGGGTGTATCTCGCACGGGATGATGTGAAGCCCGACGCGCCTCTGCTGGAGAGCCCTCTGTCGCTGTGTGAGGTGCTGCAGCCAACGGCCGCTCAAACGGCGTTCTACTTTGGGTTTGTGGCGTCCACAGTGGCTCCTTACCTGCAGCAGCACGCCATCCTGGTGTCCCTTATCAGAACAGGTGAGCAAAGGTTTTCAGAGGAGTTAATGGGGCACGGTGCAACACACTTGCGATTTTGTTAACAGGGTCATTTCAGGAGAAAATTCTACAAGTAACGCAATTAAAGCACCGATTGCTTGTGACATAGAAGAACCCTTCTTTCTGAGGCTACTTGGTGGTAGACCATGGCACCACGTTTGCTCCTTCCATGCCGTGATTGCCGCCTGGTCCGTCCTTCAGCTACTCTCTCACACAACTTGGGCCGTAACTACCCTGAAATTGAAATTGAAATGTCGTGCCAAAACCCCTTGCTCCAAAAGACTTTCGTCCACTAATTCTCTCCCGTTCTTCCGCCAATTCTTCTCTTTTTCATATTCTACTGTGTTTTGTCTGCACCACAGGGTTTTCTGTCACTGCAAAATCCACTAGATTGTCCGTCGTTCCAGGTGCCATACATATTACATACCTCCCCATCGCACTGAAACCTTTGTATGTCACATGGTCGTTTTCTTCCTCTCCTGGCAATTTCTTATGCCGGTTCCGCTTACTTTTTGCGCAACCCTATGTGCATCTTCGGTGGTATATTTCATTGACATGCATTGTACCATGTATTCTCCATGTATAATAAAATTCTTGCCGACGTTCAACCTGCACATTGAATCACACATAAGCATTCATAACGCAGCAGTCAGCCTTGTATGCCTCCCTCCCACGCAGTCCACTCCCATACTAGGTCGACTCTCTGCATTTGCTACCTTCCCCCTTCTCTCGCATCCTCTTGCCCTTTTCTTCTCACAATCGCCATTTTTACTCACTCGTTTCGCCACCTCCCCTCACCCTGTCTTCTCACTGCTCTATCCCCCTGTCCTTGATCACCTAAATGCCTGTTGCCTTACATCTCACTCTTCTTCCTCCCCATCATCCCCCTGCCTGTTGCCTTACATCCTTTTCAATTGCATCTGATGCCATCCACGTGGCTCCTAGCCTTTGGGCTAACGGTGTCAGCAGCAACGTTCCGGCCTTTGCGGGCGAGTCCGTTCACGCGGTACGTGAGTGCGTCGTACACGCTCACGCAGTCGGGGCAGCAGGACGCCTGGCTCCTCCGCGACCCCTCCTCCTGGGATGTGCCGTGGCTCAACTGGCCCGTCAAGGACCAGGACGATTGCAGTGAGTGCCGTGGGGGGTGGGGGGAGGAGAGAGGGAGGGTGGGAGGTGGGGTTGGGAGGTGAGGTTGGGAGGTGAGGTTGGGAGGTGAGGTTGGGAGGTGAGGTTGGGAGGTGAGGTTGGGAGGTAGGGTGGGCATCCTCTCTCAGGCCAGCAGGACGCCTGGCTCCTGCGCGACCCCTCCTCCTGGGATGTGCTGTGGCTCAAGTGGCCCGTCAAGGGCCAGGACGTTTGCAGTGAGTGGCATTTTGGAAAGCGGGGGAGGGGAGGGACTCCTGCAGTGAGTGTTGTGGGGGGTAGAGGTTGGGAGGGTCACGTGAGGGAGGTGAGGAGGGAGAGGGAGAAGTGGGAGATGGGGAGGGGGGGGGGGTTGAATGACGGAGGAGCGACGGAATGAATGATGAAATCATGGTAGGGACAGAAAGAAAGAAATGTAGGACTGGGGGACACGAGCTTCTAGTTTTGACTTTTCATTCATTCACCACTAGAGCAGAGTTGTGACGGCGCTCCAGCCTGCACTCTCCTCCCACCTATGTACTCCTCTTAACTGTCGGCCTGAACCCATCCATCTCTTCTCACCCTCCTCTGCTCAGATGCATGCTGGGCGTATGCAGTGGTGGCGAGCGTAGAAGCAGCATACGGCATCGCAACAAAGAAACCAGCGCCGCAGCTGTCAGTGGAGTCACTCTTTGCAGCCATGGGGCTCACCTCTCAAGACAAGAAGTGCACTGCTGGGGGCTCCCCCACAGATGCCTTTGAGAAGCTGCTCGCCCTGCCCAAAGGGGGACTCACTCTGGCTGTCAACAGCTCTGCCAGCGGAGTGCCTGCAAGCTCAAGCAAGCGAGTTGCTGTAAGTGTTGCACCTGGCATTTTGTGTGCACTTCTTGTGCACAGAGGTAGCGCCCTTACCAGTGCAAGAACAAGGAACCACTGGTGTGTTGCTTAAGCTGATTCGTTCTTTTTATTCACAAATTTCAGATGTGTTTGCCTTTCAAAAGACAAGCACTTGGTGTGCTTTTGTGTTTGATCTATCTGCTTGGTTTTTTTCTTCTTCTTTTACCTCATACAAACATTCGTGCAGGTCAAGTACTTTCCAGTTCACGGCTTTGAGCGAACGTGGTTCAAGGGGTATGTGGGGCTCATGCTGGCAGTGCAGCGGCAGCCAGTGGTGGTTCACATCGAAGCCTCTGCTCCCACGTTTGCTGCATATGATGGGGTACACCTAGCCCGCGCCAATTTCAACAGCTGGGGCCCGGGTCGCGTTCTTGTCGTTTTGCCCTCGGGGTTGAAATTGGTGGGAACAAAAAAATTCCCTCCACTTTCAACACGCTGACGGAATATAAATTGGTGCCTAAGTGTTCTGAACTGTGTTAGAGCGGTTGTACTCGGTTCTGTTGGAATGACGTTGCTTGGACCGAACTGCGCTCGCCCGAGGACCACAGGTGGCGACAAACGTGTTAGAGGGGGGGGGGGGGGGGTGGGGGGGGGGTTGAAGTTGGCGCGGGTTAGGTTAGGTGTATGGCTGATCAATCGCTTTAGAACTGAAGCGACAGCCACTGGTGGTTCACTCTTTTTATTTATTGAATACGGAGCCCTTTTTTTGCAACCCTTTGGCCGCAACTTCATGCAGTGAGTCTCTTTTGTTCCTTGGGGTTTCAACATTCGTGATGTTGGATACTGTGTCTCACCTTCCTGTGCTTCTGCTACTGCCCCAACCAACCCCTGTACCTGCTGACTGTCTGCCAGATGTTCAAGTACCAAGACCCTGCCTGCTACACTGGCAGGCTGAACCACGTGGTCCTCGTTATTGGCTACTCCGTGGCAGTTGGTGAAAAGGAGAAGCTGCGTGTTTCACCTCCGTTTTGGATCATCCGCAACTCGTGGGGAGTGGAGTGGGGAGATAAAGGCCACATGCGCATGGACATTCAGGGAGGGGATGGCGTGTGTGGCATCAACGTGCTGCCTGGCATCTACCCCATTGTCAAGAGTGAGGCATCTACTGTTAGAAACAAGAAAATATTGATCTTATAGAGGAGATACAAGTAACGTGGTTCTAAAGAGAAGGGTGAAAGAGAAGATTAGGTGTAGCCCAGTCAGGAGCATGCCTTGCTCCCTTGCTTTTAAACAAACAGCTGGCTTCAGGATGGTTGGTGACGCCACACCTTAACCTTCCTCAGCAAAAGCCTCTAACCCCAATCTCTTTCCTCCTCCCTTCCCCTCCATTTCCTCGCCCTGGGACCTCCACCGAGCCAGTCCCAGGCGACCCCTGTGTGCTCAAGGGCTTTAAACTGGATCGCGAGGACTATCCGGCCATGAAGCCGTGCGGGCGCTTTGCTTTTGAGAATTTTCAAAAGTAAGCCTCTAACCCTAGTCTCTCTTTCCTCCTCCCTTCCCCTCCCTCTTCTCCACCGAGCCAGTCCCGGGTGACCCGTGTGTGCTCAAGGGCTTTAAACTGGACCGCGAGGACTATCCCGCCATGAACCCGTGCGGGCGCTTTGCATGCCGCCCCAACGCGCGCGTCACTGCGTACACGTGCGACTGCAACCTGCCCCGCCCCGGCCCACAGCCCTTCGTGGAGGTTGCCAATGCGGACGGCTCGCGCACCTGTGCCTATGGTGGGTTGGGGTGTCTTGTTGCGCTTGGAAACTGGGCTTGCGCACCTTGCACACGTACAACTGCAAGCTGCCCCGCCCCGGTCCCCCCCAGCCCTTTGTGGAGATCGCCAATGCAGACGGCTCGCGCACCTGCGCCTGGTGGGGAGGGTGTGCCGTGTGCGGTGGTGGAGTGGCTGTGCTGTGCCGTGCTGTGCTTTGCTGCACCTTCCTTGCCTTTCCCCTTGCCTTTTCCCTTGCCTATTCTCGTGCCTTTCCTGTGTCTGCCCTGACCGTTGAGAGACCCATACAAAGCAGCTCAGACAACACCTGTCTTGCTTCCACACCCTCTTTCCTGCATGCTCCGATACAAGCACACCCAGTGGCCGTGTGCGGGTCGCACACACCAAAAACCAGTCCGCTGTGTCGGGGTTGCGTTAGAGGCACTGCTCTGGCCCTCAACCACCCCCCCCACCCACCCACCCCCCCCTTTTCCCCTTCATCTCCCTCTACCACCTCTTTTACCCGGCATGGCAGTGGACGTGTGTGGGTCCTATACCAGCAACCCATGTGCCGTGGGCACATGCATCAACGATGGCAAGGGCTCCTACTCCTGCATCTGCCCTCCCAACTATGCCCCCACCACCACCATTGACAACTTCCCCACCTGCGGCTCAGGTACAGTTTGCTGCTGCTCCCGCGGCCCAGGTACCTCTCTCCATCCAACCCCATGTGTCGCCTACCTCTTGCTTGGCTTTCCCAGCACCTAACCAGTCTCAGCCACACACACCACCTAATCCAATTCCCAATCCCCAATACCCAACCCCCCCATTCGATCCCTCCCTCACGCTCCACCTCCTTCTCTCCCCCCTACCTTTCTCTGCCCTTCTCGTTCTCTCCCTCGCAGCCGACGTGACAGCAGCGACGGTGGCAGTGGGAGCGGACAACTGGCAGTGTGCGGACGTGCATCCAGTCATGGGGCTCACCCTCGCTGACGTTACCACTCTCAACAAGGTCAGAGGTTTAGTTTAGAGAGAACACTGCTCATTGATTATAATAATAATAATTATTATTATTATTGCTATTATTATTATTATTATTACTACTATTATTATTATTATTATTCTTCTTCTTCTTCTTATTGGGCGCTTAGTTGTTGGTACACTTATGGAAGAGGGAAGCGCCGGCATTGACACGAAATTCTCATAGTGAACGTTTTTTATGATCTTGGCGGGAGTAGGTTTGACATGACATGAAAGGCGCATTCTACACCCCTACCTGCCAGCCATATCAGGAGCCTTCCCACCCTTCCCACCCTTTTCATCCACCCTTCAAGCATGATATCAACCATTCCTTGCACTATCAAATCGCCTGATTCATTTTCAAGCACTGCAGGGAATTGACTGCAGCAAGCCTTTGAAGAGGGGCGCAACACTGAACATCAAGCCCTCTACACCCGTTGTTCCCTGCACTGCCTTCTTCTTCACTGTGAACGTGAGCTCCTTTCTCTCTTTGAATGTCTGTGCACGAACCTGAACCTGCCACGAAGGTGAGAGTTTCAAGAGCATGCTTGAGTGCGTCTGAGGTTATGCTTGGTAGTGTGTGCGTGCTTGCGTGCGCCCGCACGTGTTCCGCACTTGAGAACAAGCCGAATGCATCCATCTGCCTCTGTTTTAAAGGCCATCTGAGAATCCTCAGGATTACCTTTTGTTTTTTACTTTCAGAAACAGTGAGCAGCAGCATGCATCTATCGGCATCTGTACTTTTGCCGATCACCCCACCTCCTCCACACTCCATCCACGCAGGGAGATACATGCGAATCCATAGCCACCCGCCTCCGAATACCAGATGACAGAAGTTTCGCCACCCTCAACCCCGGCGTTGACTGTTCCAAGAGCCTCTCTCCCGGCCGCTCTCTGTGCCTGGAGCGCAATCCTGAGCTCGTGAGCACGACGCCTGTGTGCCTGCAGTACGCGATGCTGACAGCGCAGGACACGTGTGAGCGGCTGCTGAAAGGGTTGGTTGTATTGGTGAATGCGGCTGCGTGGGCCGCTCTCTACCGCAACAACCCCGGCCTCGTCTGCTCCAACACCATCCCTGCCTCTGCTTCGGCTGTTGGGAGCAACACTGGCGTGCAGGTGAGTTGGCGGCTCATGAGGGAGGGTAAGAGCAACGCTCTCATGTTTGTTATGTGTTTCTGTCATGCCGTTTCTTCTCATGTGTTCTCCTCGCGTGTTCTCCTCGCGTGTTCTCCTCACGTGCTCCTTCTACCGATATTGGTGCGTCTCAATCACATCCACCCAGGTGTGCATCCGAGCGGAGTATTGGAACTTTCAGCTGGGTGCTTGTGTGAAGGGAAAGCCGGAGTCCATCAGCCCTAAAGCGACGTGCTCATCTGTCCTGCAAAAATACTATGATAATAATGCGTTGCTGTACAAACAGTACAACGGCAACGAGGCATGTGCTGGAACTGTGGGAGGTAGCTCCACCAGGCGTACAAAAGTGTGTGTGCCTCGCTAGTCGTGGCGATATGCCTTGGCTGCCATACTGAGCCCTTTACCTGTAAGAAACATCTTCCTATGATTTAAAAATGGCTAGCAACAATAATATATTGTACCATATGTGCTAATGTTATGAACTTTTCAAAAACTCCATTATATAAGAGAACATCTGAATGTGATACGGTTTCCTGCACCGTTACAACGACCCCTTTCGTTTCTGGCCTTTTCGCCCTTGGCGAAATCCCCTCTTGTGTCAGCTCAAAAGGTCCAAGTTCAGTTGTGGAGGGAAAAAAAAACACCGACGCGCCGAGCCCACCCCAACCAACTCTAGGCCGAGCAACCTTCGCCAGCCTGGCACCCTTGTTTCCCTCCTCCCCGAAGTTGTCATGGCGGTCCTGCCGTCGTGAGAAGAACTGCCATCATGAGGGGGACTGGAGCCTAGGAGGGATGTTGCGGGGTGGGGCGGGGAGGCGGGCTGGTGAGGGTGGGGTGGGGTGAGGTGAGGTGAGGAGGAGGAGGGGAGACTGCAGAATTACGTCAGGTTCTAGGCGGTTTTGTTTCCCCCAGGGCCCACGCACCCATGCCAAGTTCTCCGAATCCAAACCAGCGCCCAGCCTGTTTCGTTTCAATCGCACCCAAACCCACCAGATCCAAACCGAAACCTTTGTAACTCGCTCAACTCCGTGTCAACTTCGTGACCGAAAATTCCGCCGACAATAAAATTATCACGATCTGCCACCCCATAAGCAGCGAGAACCAGTTATGTTGGGATTCCATCAGCCATTTGGGGGGTTGATGCCTCTGGTATCCTAGGAGATGGGACGATAGAACATCCTGGATGCATCCCTAGGACGCTTGTGTCCTCCGTTCACCCAGCCAGATTCGACCAGCTTTCGCTGTTTCAATCTCGCAACCCGCGATTATTGATCCGTTAGGTCAAGCATCCCTTCGTCACCATGGTCGCCGGACGGAGAAAGAATTCGCGGTTTGCGTTCCTCTAGCGGTGTCTCGGCGAGCGGTCAAGTACGTTATAGAGGAAAATTACAGCGGCACGCACATCTCGTCGTTTGCCGCTTTACTTCGCCGTCCCGGCTTATCAACCACTACCTAATCGTTTCCCCGCTTTTCCAGCTCCTTCGAATCTCCGCTCATCCGCAATACGTGCATATTCCACCCGGTTGCTTCGGGATTCAGGACCAAACGACGCGGCTTTGTGTCCCTCTCATCTGTAAATAGCTGTTCTCCGCGTTAAGGAGCCCTACCCGATTGGTTATGGCGGACGTTTCGTCTGCGTCACCGCTATCGACGCCGTTGGCCGGATCCCAAGGTTCAACTACCGCCACTACCACCAGTGCTGTCACCAGCGGTACCGTTAATCCCGACGCCGACGTCGCAGGGTCGTCTGCGAGTCGCAATGGCGATGCCGCGTCGCAGCCACCCAGCGTCGCACGGAAAGGCGTCGCGTCTGCGAAGGGTTCGTGCGTCGACGGTGGGATGGCACCTGCACCGTCGGATCTAGTAGACGACACCCCTGCACACGCGCCGGCCGGCGCTGACGGGGGAACGGGGGGGCATACACACGGGGGGCAGGCGGAACCGGAAGGAAGCGGGGGCGAAGGAGCGGTTAGCGCAGTCGCTGCGGCGAGCGCAGAAACGTCTGATAATACATCATCGGAAGGTTGCGCCATTGGCGGAACAGAAACAGTGCCGGCGGCGGTGGCGGTAACGGGGACCGCGGAGGGCGTAGCGGCAGGAGGGGGTCTGAGAGAAGGTGGGGGGATGGAGGAAAGAGAGGATAAAGCGGAGCAGGAGCAGGAGCAGGAGCAGGAGGTGGCGGAGGAGGATGAGGAGGAGGTGAAGGAGGAGCAGGAGGAGGAGGACGTAGTGGCGAAATTCAGTTCCGCTGCGGCGTTCGTAGAGGCGGGGTTGCAGGACGCTGCGGACGACTCGTGCAGCATATGCCTAGACGACTTCACGGCCGACGAGCCGTCCACCGTGAGTGCTGCTGCTCGCGACGTTTGAGTTCTGACACGCCTCAAAAACACTAGAGTTTTGGGCCGCCTTAAACTTCACTGCGGACGACTCGTGCAGCATATGCCTAGACGACTTCACGGCCGACTAGCCGTCCACCGTGAGTGCTGCTCGCTTTGCGCGACGTTTGAGTTCTGACGCGCCTCAAAAGCATTCTAGAGTTTTGGGGTGCCTCAAAAGTCGCTGCGGACGACTCGTGCAGCATATGCCTAGACGACTTCACGGCCGACTAGCCCTCCACCGTGAGTGCTGCTCGCTTTGCGCGACGTTTGAGTTCTGACGCGCCTCAAAAGCATTCTAGAGTTTTGGGGTGCCTCAAAAGTCGCTGCGGACGACTCGTGCAGCATATGCCTAGACGACTTCACGGCCGACGAACCGTCCACCGTGAGTGCTGCTCTCTTTGCGCACCGTTATGGATTCCCCGTATGGTAACGGCGTACTTATCGTGGCGTGAATGTTTCGAACTCTGAAATTCTTAAGGGTTTCTGGGTCCTGATTAGCCTAAGGAAACGCTGGACGTGAGTGCGCTTAACATGCTTTGCATGGTCGAAATGGATGGACGGAACAATTCTGCTGGCACGGAAATAGTTCCTAAGGTTGAGGGGACGAACCTACTGCAGTGCGGATTGGTACGGAACGGTACAGACCGGTACGGACTGGTACAATAGCTACTATGTGTGAGCTACTGTGTGTGAGTTTCTCTCTACCCCTTCAATCGAAGATGAGAGGAACGAACGTACGTTGCCAGATGTCATGAAGCAGGTGCCGTAGTGTGTGCTGACATCAGCAATTTAATTTGCAGCAGGCACACTGGTTATCACGTTTAAATGTAGGGGCATGTTTTGAAGCCATGGCTTGATAAGGTGGGGGAAAAAAAAGGTGGGGAAGCGGGTGGAGAGAGTGCGGGAGTGGGGGGATTGGTTGAAATGGATAGTTAATTCCGGCTGAACAAGGAAGTGCGACTCTAATTGGAATGTTTTCTCTTTTCATCCTCCCTACTCTCCCATTCCCCTTTCCCTACCTCCCCTCCGTTTCTCTTTCTTCGAACTGCGTCTCTTTACACCCCCCCCCTCTCTTCCCCTCTTCGCCCCACTTCCCTTCCTGTCTCTTCCCCTTCATCTGTCGCCCTCCATTCACTTCCTCTACTTCTCCCACTCTCCTCTCCCTGTCTCCCTCTCCCGCTCCTTACTCTATTTCTCCCTCCCTCACCCTGATCTGTCGTCTTTTCGCCCCTCGCTGTTGTTGCTCCCAACGTTGCAGCCGACTACGTGCAACCACCACTACCACCTGCAGTGCATCCTTGAATGGTATGGCGTGCCTCCACTTCAATTCAGAAGGAAGGGGAGGGGGGGGGGGTGTGGGGGGGGGGGAGGGGGGTGGGTGGGGAAGGCAGGCAGGCGGGGTCCCATGGGGCACTTTTACTTTGAAGATGAGGAGAGGCCGTACGAGGTGGAGAGGGGAGGGGAGGAGGGGGGGGACGAACGGGTGAAAGGAGTCCTTCTAGAGTGTGGGAAAAGGAGGAGAAAGGGGGGGCGGGAAGGAGGGGGAGGGTTTGGGGGTTTGAAAGGGGAAGTGAGTGCGGGAGTAGGTGCAGCAAGCCTGTTGTTAGGTATGGAAGGCTAGTTCTGTGTGTGCCATGTCTTTTGAGGCTCCTCAGAAATTGTGTCATGGATGTGTGCCAGAGAATCTGTGCAACTAGCAACAGATTTGATGCTTTTCTTGAGGCGACTGTGTGTATGTGCGTGCGACCGTGCTTGTGTGTGCATGTGTGTGTGCCTGTGCGCACCCGCGTGCGTGTGCGTGTGTGTGTGTGCGTGCCCGTGCCTGTGTGCCTGTGTGCATTCTATCCAGGGCACAGCGCAGCAAGGACTGTCCCATGTGTTGGCGCACTCTAGTGCTCAAGGACCCTGACAGGTGCGCATGCACGTACATCTGTGTGTGTGCTGTGTGTTTGTGTGTCGAAGCGAGCACAGGCGCATGCACGTACATGTGTCCATGTGTGTGCGACAACATATGCACTCTCCAGCAAGTTCTCCTCACGCTCATTGCTCTCCTTGCCGCACGTTCTCTGTCAATTATGTCGTCTGCTACTGACTTGAGGAGAATGAGAGTAGGAATGAAGCGAGCAACACTGTACTGCACCAAGCGACCTGACATCAAAAACTGAATCACTGGCTAATTTCTGCCCACGTTTCCTCCCTCTGCCCACGTTTCCTCCCTCTGCCCATGTTTCCTCCCTCTGCCCACGTTTCCTCCCTCTGCCCACGTTTCCTCCCTCTGCCCACGTTTCCTTCCTCTGCCGGACCCCTCCGCTTACAGTCAGGAGCTGCTAGAAGCGTGTGCAGCGGAGAGGGCAATGAGGGCCCAGCAGGCAGCAGCAGCGGCAGCAGCATCGTCGCGCATGCACATGGGGCGGGCTGCTCTCGAGGAGTTTGCAGCGCTGCAGCAACGGGTGGGTGCTGTGCTTCTCCCTGTTGTTGCTTTTGCTGCTGCTGCTGTTCTGTTCCGTTCCTCCCCTCCACCAGACCCTCCTGTCGCTCTCCTCGTCCCCTCCTCCTTCCATACCTTTGTGTCCCCGGGTCCCCACCCTACCTACCCTACCCTGACATGCCTTCTTGTATGATCTCATCTGCTCCTTCACGCGTTCAGCTTGCAGAGCTATCAGAGGATTCAGAGCTGGAAAGGCGAATCCTACAGCACCTGGCGGCGGCAGCAGCAGCAGCGGGATTCTCCTCTCGCTCCGCCCACCAGTACCTGCACCACCACAACCACCGCCACCTCCACGGGTCTGATCGCCAGCAGCAGCAGCGCCTGCGCCAGCACCTACGCCAGCAGCAGCAGCTGCAGCAGCAAGGAGAGGACGAGGAGGCTGGGGGCAGCCCTGGCGAGATGGCGCTTCGCCCGACCAGGTCGGCAGGCTCGGGCGGCCGGATTAGGTTCGGCGGCGGCAGCGGCGGCGCTGGCGGGATTTATTTTGGGGAGAGCCGGCAGGAGGAGGGCGGAGGGAGCCTGACGCCTCCGAACGCGTTTCTATCGGCTTTTACTCGCTCGTCTAATGCCCTTTCGCTCCAGGACATGGATGGGAGAGCAGCAGAGCAGGGAGCAGGAGACAGGGGGGAACGAGGCGGAGGGGGAGGAGGAGTGGTGGTGACTGGGTTCGGTAGGGGAGGGCCTGGTGCAGTGGGAGGTGTCAATTCCTCCTCCTCCACTTCCTCTGCTTCTAACCGCTTTTCTGCAACCCTCTCCTCTGCTCTCCCGCGCTCGCAATCCGCCCATCCAGGCACTGCCCCCCGCACGGTGTCCCCGCCTAGTCTCGCAGCGAGCCTGGCGCGCAGAGCAGCAGGGCAGGGGTCGGGAAGAGAAGGCGGAGGGCAGAGTGCACGGGGAGGCGGGGGAGGTGGGGGAGGTGGAGGAGGGGGGGGAGGCGGAGGGGGACGGGACGGTGGTTATTCGTCTGGGTCATTGTCATCGTCATCAGCAGCAGCGACGTCAGGGTCGGGTTCGTTTCTGTCGGGTCCTGCTTCCAGTGCCATGTCCGCTTTTGCTAGCCTTGCCGCTGCGCTGGGCGGTGGTGGTGGTGGAGGGGGAGGAGGAGGCGGAGGGGGAGGTGGGGGTGGTGGAGGGGATGGGTCTAGTGGCGGGGGAGGGGGAGGGGGTGGTGGTGTGGGTTCGTGGTTCTTTGGCTCGTTTTCTCAGTTGGGGAATCGGTCGCAAGGGGGAGGAGGGGGAGGGGGAGGAGGGAGTGGGGGAGGTGGGTTCGGAGGAGGGGGGACAGGCGGATTTGGGGGTGGCCGATCAGCGAGTCAAGGCACGAGCACTCACGGGTGAGGAAGATGCAGTTCTGAAAATACTTAAACTGCACTGCACAGTTTTGCATTGAATCCCACAGACTTGCTTGCCGTCCCTCTTTTTTTCTTTCTTTGTGTGCATCTTTCACATACCTGGAGGCATATAGCAAAGTGCTGCTCCTGCGTGTGACCTTGACCTTATGCTGCGTATGATTTCTTCGAATTCTCAAAAACCATATAGCAAAGTGCTGCTTCTGCATGTGACCTTGACCTTGACATGACATGCACACACAGCCATGTCTTTGAGTCAACCACTAATTAACCACTCATTCTGATCCTCTGATGTCTCATCCCCTCTTGCTTCCTGCTCCACCTGTTTTCCTCTCTCTGTGCCTTGCAGCACGTCCCGTTCAACCTACTCTCCTCCATATACCTCCGCGCAGCGGTCTAGCCGACCGTCTCCCCGCACACTGTATGCTGCTCCAGCACCCTTCTCTCCTCCTCCTCCTGTCTATCTACTTGCATGCTTGTAGCCCTTGCATGCTTGCATGTTTGACATACCGTTTTTTGAGTCTCCCCACCAGCTGTCCAGCCAGGCACAGCTCCCCAAGCAGTTGAGTGTTCATGCGATTTGTTGTCACACGGGGCCCATGGTTTCCGTGCAGTGGAGTGACCTTGTGTGTGGTAACTCTCTCAGCATGCACCCCAGGACACCCACCCTTAGCTGTGAACCCTGGCCATTCTGCCTATTCCTCTCCACCCCTCTGCACTCCTCCCTCCTGTGTCCCGCCATCAATCTGCCATTCCTTGCAGGGCCAGCACACCATCATCCCCACCACTACCCCAGTCCATGACCATGTCAGAACCTGGCCCTCTCGCCCTCTTCCCCTCACTGTTCTCCTCCCTCCTATGTACTCTACTCCTCCCTCCTGTCTTCTGCTGTCAATGCTGATGTTTCTTGCAGGGCCAGCACACCATCATCCCCACCACCACCCCAGTCCATGACCATGTCAGAACCTGATTCGCCCTCTCGCCTGCCCACCGCTGCTACTACTGCAACCTCTCCTTCTCCTCCTCCCGCTCCTGCTGCTGCCGCCACCACCTCCATCAGCTCCCCTGCCAGTCCGCCCCTTCTCGCCTCCCAGCGTGTAACTTCTCCCCCGATTCGTCCGGCTGCCTCGTCCCCTGCTTCTGCCGCTACTCCTCCTGGCAGAAACGGCTCCTCTTCTACTTCTTCCCCACAGGGCTCCTTTCTCCAATTTTCCTCCCCTGTTGCGGCTGCCTCCGCTCCTGCGGATGATGCTGCTTCGCCTGGTGCTCCTACTGCTGCTGGAGGGATGGGCAGCAGCAGCACGTAGACATGGAGTATTATGCGGTACGGGATACATGGTATGGTTTTGCAAGTACGTACAAATATTAAAGAATTCAAGTCAAGTCCCAGCGCAAGTTTTCCAAGTCATGCCATAATACTGCTCTCTGTAATCTCGGTCCCTCGCCCTCTGTCTTACCCTCTGGCCATCCTCTTCTTCCCGCTCTTTTTTGCATGCACACAGTTTAGCGTCCTGCATGTGATTGAAACCTGGATAGCACACACACACACACACTCTGTCAAGCACTCCTGCATTGTCATGCACTCTGCTCTGTGTCATACACGCCTTCACTTTCTGTCGTCAGTGTCACGCTTTTCTGTATCGGTCTAGCTACCGCTAACCTTTGTTTGTTCCCTCCCCCCCCTTTTTTTTTATCTCTGTGCTTGTTCTCGTGGTACCGGACCTCCTCCGAGTGTGCATGCAGGCCTCCTTGCGTATTCCCTTCTCCATGTCTGGCTTGTTTTGGCAGGAAAGCTCATTGACCGCACTTGTGGCAGTGGTGATATTGTTATCATATGGCTCCTTGTGTATTCAGACATGCGTTACCGTATTATGTGCCAATTTATAGTCTGGCTGGCTGATTTAACACAAACGAAATGAGACCTGGCTTCTGGTGGGCACATGCACCAACTGGAGCACCATCATGTACACTTGTTATTCTTGGGCACTCTTTGTTTTGCAAAGTCGTCGCACGATCAGTGTTTTATCACAGCTCTGACCTATTAAACATTTCATTTTTACTTTAAGCACACAGGTGTGCATCGTGATTGTGAAGGTGGCTCTTCATCTTTTTAGTAAAATGTTTAACACTTTCGAGGATGTATGTCAGAATTGCAGTTTCCATATAAGAAATCGTGGTTAAACAAGCGGATGGTCTTGAACAGCCCGCAGGGTGGACGAATTCCGTCAGACCAGACAGACGCGGTCAGAGGGAAAAAAGTTTCCGTTGGCGTTCCCACAACGATCTGGCTGTTGTTTGGGTGCCCCACGTGTTCCGCGTGACCATGACCAATGCCGTCGCTTCCCCCTTGCCGGATCTCCAATTTCCAATCAGCCCGCTTCCTGCCCGCACCACGTGTGCCCCTTTCTTCTTGCTCGCTTCCTCTCTTTCGCTTGGCCTCCCTTCTTTCCCTGCCCACCCCTCCCCCCCTCCACTTCTCCACTTCGAAATTTTGAAGCGAAGGCCTTCATTTGACAGATCATCAGAGTCGGCCAAGCAGCAACAATTCCCGTGTCCCTAGGATCCCTTCGGCCGAGGGGGAGAACCGCATCAGCACATCACAGCAGATCAGCTCAGCTTGGATAATTGTGACTTTATACATTGAATCGCAGCATCATATAGGAGCCGATTAATTCTTTGACATACGTGAAGGTACAGGAAAAGGTAGAAAAATCTTCGATCCCAACCACTACCGCACGGCAAGAGGTTGAGAGGAAGAGGAATCCTCGCGCCGTAGGATGATTTGTGCGCTGCCGTCTTGCCGCATCGCGTACGGACGTGCTTTTATGACGCCGGAGCTCTTTCGCGCAATAGATTGACTACCTTGCCGGCCGTTTTTTTTGTTTCCCGTTTTTTTTATAGGTCTATACCAATTTTCTTGCCGGCCGATCATCCCTCGCCTGTGTTTATTATTTTTCTTGCTCGCCGCGTGCTTGCATGGATCGCACAACCGGTTTAGCCAGCTCAGGAACGGCTTCTCGATCGGGAGGTGCTAGCAATATTAGCAGTAGTAGGCTCGGTCAAACGAACGACCTTACAGTAGGTTCGGCGGCAAACAACTCTGTTACAATCACTTCCCCTAACGTCACACCATCGACTGCTCCGTCACTTAATGTTACCACTCCACGCGTCACTCCCAGCGTCCCCCGCCCTGGGGGGGGAAGCGCTGCGCTTTCGCCTTATTCTGCAGGCGCGTCGCCGTATCGATCGGCTGCTTCCTTTTACGGGGCCACCGGAAACCCTTCCGCCAGTGCCGGTCCTTTAATAGGCGCTGCGGGTGGCACGGGCGCAGGTTCCGCCTCTGTGTCCGCGTCTCCCAGTGTGGCGGAACGAAGAGCGGAGATCGTCGCGCATCATCTCCGCGTGGCCGCGTCTCTGGCTTCCGCCGTTTCCGCCATCGACGGCTCCGCGGGCTCCGCCGGTTCCGCTGATCCTCCCCCGCTGGACTTAGAGAGCTCAACTGTTCGTGCGGAAGGGCAGCTTCCGCCAGGCGAGATCGGGGGAGACTTGAGAGTGACAGTAACGAATGATACGGGAATGAATGGAGCATTCAAGAGCGTGGCGGAAGCGGAAACGGCGGAATTGACTGATCGGGATCGATCGGCGGAAGGGGACGGTAGACCTGACGAGGTGGGAAGCAGTGATTCGAAACGGACCGAGATTAAGCGAATCGATAGCCGTCGCGGAAATAGCGGCGGCGGCGGAAGTGGCAGCATTAGCGGTGGACAGAGGAGATCAGGCGGAAGCGGAGACGCGGATGCGGGAGAGTCGGGGGAGGCTTCGAGGCGGAACGAAGGCGGACGCCCCCCGCGCAGCCCTGAAGACGGGAGCGGCAGTCGCGGAAGGAAGAAGGGCAGCGCCAAGCGGTACCCAGTGCGCCGGCAGCTGTTTTCCGCGGGAGGGCGACGCGCGGGCGCCGCCGCGGGGGGAAACGGGGCCGGGGATGGTGCCGGCGGAGTGGGCGAGAGGAGGGGTGCGCGGGGATCTTCCGCGGGGCAGGGGGAGGAGTGGCGGGCTCCGCAACCGTGGGGGCGCGCGGGGAGGGCAGTGCGGTCGGTGCTCCGCGCATGGGGATGGGACACGCTGTTCTGGCGGCAAGAGGAGCAGGGGCAGCTGCTGGGGGGAGGGCGGGCGAGCGGAGAAGCAGGGCGCGCGGGAGATGGTGCGAGGGAGGAGGAAGAAGGCGGGGGAGGGGAGGGGGGAGGAGAGGGGGCGGGAGAGGGGGAGTGGGGGAGGCAGTATCCGCAGGGCGCGCAAGGGGATCCGCTGGAGAGTTTGGACTATGATGTGATAGACAACTCGGTGTACCGGGAGGAGCAGGTGAGGAGGGAGGGGGTTACAGCCACTGATTCAATCTGGTAAAACAAATGCGGGATTCGCTGGAGAGTTTGGACTATGATGTGATAGACAACTCGGTGTACCGGGAGGAGCAGGTGAGGGTGCCGGTAGTCCAAGTAGGTGAGGGTGCCACTGATTCAAGATGGTAGAACAAGTGCCGCGAGAGACGAGCATCGCGTGGCGAGAGGAGCAGTAGGGGTGCAATGGTGCTGTTGGGGTGGTGGGGTGGTGGGGATGTGGGGATGTGGGGAGGTGGGGAGGTGGGAAGGTGGGGAGGTGGGGAGGTGGGGAGGTGGGGGTGTGGGGAGGTGGGGATGATGCGTGCATGTGGTGCACTTGTCGTTGCATCCAGTCTGTTCCAGTCTGCCGTTCCACTTCACTCGTCCATGGGAATAATCGTCTCATTCACCCGCACTTGAGACTTACACGCCTGCCACGTCCCTCTTTGCTCTTCCCCCGTCGCCCCTCCTCCTTCTCCTTGCTAGTTTCGTCTCTGTCCTCTTCTGTGCGCGTTCCTTCTCTCCTCCTGCCCGCATGCCCAGAACGTCTCTCACGGTGCTTGCATTCCCCAGCCTTTTCTTCCTTTCTTCAATTTACCCCTTCCCCTCCCGAAACCCCTTGCCATGACCTCCTCACCCTCTTCCACCAAATCCCCCCGCCTACCCCCCATCCTGTGCGTGCGTGCGTGCGTGCGTGTGCGTGTGCACGGGTGGCAGGCGAGGAGGGGCAAGTTGCACCAGATGGGGTACCTCATAGTCAAGTGGGTCTTTGCTCTCTGCCTCGGCATAGGTACGACCCGTACAATTGTGTGGCCATAAGGCTGTCTGACCTATGTTCTTCCGTCCCACTCCCCACCCCATCCCTTTCCGTCCCATTTCGTTTTGCTCTGTTCCCTTCACACCTGTTCCCTCTCGTTGGCTGTCGTGCTCCCCGATGCTCTCCCCTGCCACTCTCTGCCGCTTATACCTTTGTGAACCTCTGTTGCCTGTCCGCCCTGTCCTCTGTCCTCCGCCTGTCCCTCCCCCCCTCTTTCTTCCTTCCTCGCTTCACCATTTTTATGCCTGGCTCCTCGTTCCCCCCGCAGTCATCTGTCACTCCTCCATCCCTCACTCTCTGGTTCTATGCGCATCCCATCCCATGCCATGCCGCCCAAAACCACCCATCCACCCATCCACACAGCCACGGGTATGGCAGCCTTCTCCATTAACGTGGCAGTGGAGATCCTCGCGGGGTGGCAGCTCTTATGAGTTCTCCGTTATCAAACATGCCCTGTCCCTGTCCCTCTCTCTACTGCACCACCCATCCACACAGCCACGGGTCTGGCAGCTTTCTCCATAAACGTGGCAGTGGAGATTCTCGCGGGGTGGAAGTTCGGGGCGACGTGGTGGGTGATGCAGCGCTCGCAGGCGCTGGCCTTCGTGGTGTATCTGGCGTTCAACGTGCTGCTCGTCTTCTCCTCCTCCTTCATCGTCACCCGCTTCGCCCCTGCTGCAGCCGGCTCCGGGATTCCAGAGATTAAGGGGTACTTGAACGGTAGGTGGTGGGTGGGTGTTGGTGTGGGGGTGGGGTTGCGTATGGTGGGTAGGGTACGGTGGCTGGTTGCGTGGATGTGGGTTGTGGGTGGGCTGCTTACCTGCTTACCCCGCATGGCTATGTGTGTGTGAAGGGTGATGGATGGGCAAGGATGTGGGTGGTGGGTGATGCAGCGGTCGCAGGCGCTGGCCTTCGTGGTGTATCTGGCCTTCAACGTGCTGCTCGTCTTCTCGTCCTCCTTCATCGTCACCCGCTTCGCCCCCGCCGCTGCCGGCTCAGGGATTCCAGAGATCAAGGGGTATCTCAACGGTGGGTGGGTGAGGGTGGGATTGGGGTTGCGGGTTCCGTCTGAGATGTTTCAAAAGTCAAGATCAAGGGGTTCGTCAACAGCAGGTGGGTAGGAATGGCGGTTGTGGTGTGCGTGGGGGTGGGGGTGGGGGTGTGTGTGTGTGGGTGTGGGTGTGGCGTGTGGTGTGGGTGCGGGTTCGGGTGTGGGTGTGGGTGTGGTGGGTCCTTACCGTGTGCGATGGGTGTGGGGTTGGGTTGGATATCTAAACGGTTGGAGAACCAGCCGGTGCTAGTTGCCGTGGCTGTGCTGGGTAGGTGATACGTTCATGAATAGTGAAGCTAGGCAGAGCGGGTCAGCGGGAGACAAGAGGCGGCTTATGAGTCGCCTCTTGTCTCCCGGCTCATAAGTTACTGGTGTGTCTGGCTGGCCTTTGCCAAGGCACCGTCGTTGGGTGATGCTGGCTGGATGGATGGGATGGCACGACACCGCAATCCTCCTTGCTCTCTCTGGCCTTTGCCCCAAAAGGTCGCCTGGTACGTGTGCCGGGCACCCGTTTTTGAGGAGCCACAAAAACAGACACCCTGTTTCAAACAAATCTTTTTTTTTTTCTTTTCTTTTCTTTTCTTTTCTTTCCCTTTACCCCCTCCTACGCCCCCCATCCCCTTCACCCTGTCCTTCCCTCCCGTGTGTGGTGTGGCGTACAGGTATTGATATGCCGGGCATCCTGTTGGTGCGCACGCTGGTTGGTAAGGTCTGCTTCTCTGCCTCCTTTGCCCTCCCAACTACCCCCCACCTATCCCCACCCTCACCCTCCCCTCTTTGCATTGGAAGAATCAGCACCCCTCACCCGCTTTTGAGATTTGTCAAAGCTGCTTCTATCTATATCTGTGTTTTTTTGTAAGCACAACGCCAAGCATTGTGGGACGTGGCAGAGTTACTTGTTTGTTACATCTTACTAATAACTCTCTCCAGAATTTGTCCTTCAGCAATAATGCTATGGTGATAATGCCCAGCATGACGTGTCCTGTTTCCTGCACCACCTCCCTCTCATTCTCCTCCCCCCTTCCTCCGTCCCCCTCCTCACCCGATCCCCTGCCCCTTTTTCCCGACCTCCTCCCTCGCTCTTCCATCCCTACCTACCCACCATCCCTGCCATGTGCGTTGCTGTCCCCTGTTGCAGATGCTGGGAAGCGTGGGGTCAGTGGCGGGTGGGCTGGCACTGGGCAAAGAAGGACCTCTTGTGCACACTGGCGCTTGCCTTGCTGCTCTCATTGGCCAGGTCAGTGTGTATGTCGGAGTGTGAGCAAGGGGTTTCGGTGGATGGGGAGTGGTTGGGGAAGCTGGGGTGGGGGGAAGATGGGGATTGGCGGTTGGAGTTTGACGCTTGGCGCTTGGCAGGGTTTTTCTCATGCACCGCAGTGTTCTCTCACTTTGCACTCCTGTGCCGTCCTGATTGGTCTTCTCCCCCCCCTTCCCCTCGTCTCCCCCCTCCCCTTCTCCTCCTTCAGCAACATCCTCTCATCTTCCCTTTTCTCCTTCTCCCACTCTCTTCTGCCTCTCTCCCCCTCTCCCGCCCCCCCTTCTTCCCCAGCTCTCCCTCTCCAAGGCTGCTAGTGTGCCATCGCATTCCGTTCAGAGTGATTAGAAATTGCAAAGCACCTTCTCCTCTCCTCCCCTTTGTATCCCTCCCTCCCTCCCTCCCTCCCTCCCTCCCTCCCTCCCTCCCTCCCTCCCTCCCTCCCTCCCTCCCTCCCTCCCTCCCTCCCTCCCTCCCTCCCTCCCTCCCTCCCTCCCTCCCTCCCTCCCTCCCTCCCTCCCTCCCTCCCTTTCCTCCCCCCTCTCTATCTTCCCTTCTCCCTCTCCTTCCTTCCACTCCTCCCGCCTTGCTCCTCCCCCGTCCTCCCGCCGCACGTGCCTGGCCAGGGCGGGTCATCGCGCTACCGCATACCCTTCAAGTGGTTCCGCGCCTTCCGCAATGACAGGGATAGGCGAGACATGGTGCGCAGGGGGGAAGGTGTGGTGGGGGGCATTGTAAGGAATGGGGGGAGCATTTTGAGGGGCATTGCGGGAAGGGGGGAGCATGTGAGAGGGGAGGGGTGTTAGGGAGTAGGGGACATGTGTGGCTGGAGTGGCGTGTGTGCGCTTGTGCATGTATGTCTGGGCTGTGTGTGTGCGCGCGCGCGCGCGCGCGTGTGTGTGTGTGTGTGTGTGTAATTGAGGATACAAGCATACTGTTCCCTCTCTCCTCTCCACTCTCTGCCCTCTCTGTGCCTCTGCACGTCGCAAACAACCCTTACCCTCCTGGTCGCACAGGTCACATGTGGAGCGGCAGCAGGGGCAGCAGCAGCCTTCAGGGCGCCGGTGGGGGGAGTACTGTTCGCCCTGGAGGAGGTCACGTCCTGGTGAGGGAGGGGTGGAGAGTGGTGAGAGTGGTGAGGGAGTGGAAGGAGGGTTGAGGGAGGGGGTTGTTTGTTTGCATCATGTGGCAGTGGCAGGCAGCGGGCTATTCATTCATTCCGAGTTATGGGTCGGGTGCGATTGCACAGTGCAGTAGTGCCTACCTTGTTGTTGAACCACTGGCAACGGTCACACAAGATAGAGATGCCTTATCCTCTGCCCTCCCGTCCTGTCCATGTATCAATCAGCTCGAGTCCCTATGCCTCCTATATCCAGAAAGGACCAACGCTTCTTCCCTACCTTGCTTCCCCTCCATCCTACCTCCCTGCTCCCCACTAAACTTTTCCACCACCCGTCCCTCCCTGCCTTCCTCACTCCGTCTGTCCACGTGTATGTGCTGTGCGCTCCATGCTGGTCTTTGCACACTGTTACTACCAGGTGGCGCCCACAGCTCATGTGGAGGGTGTTCTCGCTTTTGAGAATTCTCAAAAGCACATCAGCAACCTCATTCATCGCATGCCCTTCACTTCCCAGCAATCTTTCCCAACACCTCTCTAAAGTAAACTCCACACCCTCTCCGTTCCCCGCTTACACCACCAGGTGGCGCCCGCAGCTCATGTGGAGGGTGTTCTTCACGTCAGCAGTGGTAGCGGTGGTGCTCAAGGCGTGCATGCGCTGGTGTGCCAGCGGGGAGTGCGGCAAGTTTGCATCGGGCGGGTTCATCATCTGGGATGTGCACGGGTGCGTATTGTACCATTCCGTGCCTTGCCATCCATGTTCAACCATGTCCTGCTACACCATCTCG